CCGCCGGCCCCGAGCCCCGCAAGAACCTGCTGTCCCCCGCCCCCAAGCACCCCGCCCCCAAGCACAATTCGACGATGCACCCGGCCGCCAAGAACCTGACGAACGCCGTCCACGCCGCGCACAACGGGACCCTCAACCTGCTCGCCGGCCACCTGAACCGCACCAAGGCGTGGGGCGCGCTCGGCCAGCGGCTGCTCAACGCGACGCACTTCCCCTTCCTGAACAACACGCGCCGCGCCCGGCCCGCCACGCACCACAACGTCTCGAAGCCCGCGGTGGCCGCCCCCCGCCACGCGTTCCCCAACGTGACGCAGCACCTGCCCCCCCACATCAAGGGCGGCCTCGCCAACGTCACCCGCCACCTGGGCCGCCTGAATGTGTCACGGAACGCCAACAAGACCAGCGGCTTTGTGGCCGCGGTGCAGGCGCGCCTCCACAGGAACACCAAGCCGGCCCAGGCCCACGGCCGCTGATCGCGGGGCAAGGCTCTCGCGCGCTCGCTGCATCGCATGCACTCTTGCGCGCGCACGTCGCGGCCGCGTGTTGCGCCTGCGAACGGTCGTATTGTGCACTCAGGTACCTTTTGCTGATGCGCATCGGTCATGCCCCCTTGCTGTGTGCTGGGGCAACGCCTGTCGGCCCTGAAACATGGGCCTACCATCTGTAAAGCGGGCTGGTGTAAGCATGCTTCATTGGATTATTGATCATTCCAAGGGCAGCATTGCTGCAGCTCAGCGGGCGACTGAGCGGCATGGCGCTTACAGCAGCGCCGCCTGACGCAGAACAGATGAGTGGTCCAGGCAATGGCACTGAAGCCAGCAATATGCAGGCCTCGTTGGTGATAGTGCCGCGGTGGTCATGACGTGTGGCGGGGTCAAGTATGGAAAACCACAGCTGACCATTCAAAACATTATCGAACCAACTTGGCGAAGGGGGCAAAAAGGGCTGCAAGCGGCGGGTGTTGCGGCGTGAGTTGAAGAATGGAAGCCAATCCCACGTGCCAGGGGGGGGGGAGCGGTTGCGGCAACCCGCGCCCCGTGGCGCCTTGCAGCGCCGCGCGTCACCCCTCCCGCTGCACCCCCAGCCCGCGCTCCTCGGGCCGCACGATCTCGTGTATGACCGCCCGCCGCACCGCCTCGGCCGCCGCCGCGGCCGCCGCGGGCGGCTCCCCGGGCGCACCGGCCACCTCCAAATAGTACTTGAGCTTCGGCTCGGTCGCGCTGGCGCGCAGCGTCAGGAAACCGCCGCGGGGCAGGTACAGGGTGAGCATCAGGTCGCCTGCCGCCCAGGGCAGCGCGGGCGCGCGGTCGGGGCGCGTGGTGTCCAGGCCGACGCCCATGTCGCGGACGCCTGCGGTTGTTGGCGGTTGGAGGGGTCACAGCGTCGTCACCGTCAGGGGGGGGTGTCTGAAACGATGGGGTGTCAAACGAAAGTGTCGCTTCTGTGTGACCAGAAGCACGGGCGGCAGAGCAGAAGTTGCAACAACAGTTGCTCAGCACGTGTGCTTGCGCACGCCCCCACCTGTGACTGGGACGCCGCCCACGACCTGCAGGGCAGAAATATGGGGTGTGGGAGGTCCAGGGGGGGGGAAATCGTACAAGGACTCGGAGCGCCGATGATGCTTCTTGCAGGTCCCTGGGTCAAAACAGCTGTGGGACTTGCCGGTGCAGCAAGCAGGCCCAGACGCCGCCCTCTGGAGCCGAGCCGCGCAGCAAACACAGCTTCGGCCCCCGCTGCCCTGCGCCATCACATCACCTCCCCGACCTGCCAAAGGCATACACGCCTGCAACGAGGGACCCCCCAGGCGGCGGGACTTCATTTGATGCACACTCCGCCGCGCACCTGTGGGTAATTGCCGCCCGCCCTCAGCTCGTCGTAGAGCCCCGCCGCCTTGGCCGGCGGGTCCGCGATGAAGTAGCCGCTGAGGAAGGCCCTGGGGCCATATTTCTCGTTCAGCGCCGCTAGGTGCGACCGCAGGCTGCGGCCGGCGCGCGCGTGGTGGGCCGCCATCTCGGCAAAGGCGGCAGCGGCGCTGACGCCGTCCTTGTCCTGGGGGGGCGGGGCGCGCGTGTGTGCAAGTGCAGGGGTGTGTTCACGTTTTGAGGGTGCTGGGAAGGCGCCAGCTGTCTCATGGACGCACCCTCAGGGAAGGTGAGGGTGCGAGTGCCGCCGTTGGGGCGGGCCAGGGGGGAAACACTGTGGGGCGAGGATCCCAGTGCAGGCAGGCGCACGGGAAAAGGCGCGCTCTGCAGGGAAGGGATGATTATTTGTGGACTTGGAAAATGGTAAATGCTTGATTTGAATGTTTGGCTCTGACCTTGTGGACTGCGTTGAACATGAACCCGATGGCCTCCTCGTAGGCAAACAGCACTGTGTAGCCCTGCGACTCCAGCCTGGCCGCAATGTTGCCCAGCCACTTGAAGCCTGGGGGGTGTCGGGGGCGCGCCGGTGGTGTAAAGCACACGCGCCGTCTGTGAAAGACGGTTTAATTGCTGGGCCAGACATTGTGCATTAGAGGGTACTTATGCATGCATCTGCCAGATATGTTTATTGGGAATGGGTGTGGGCATCCAGCAGGCATTAACATGCCGCCGCTGCTGCTGCCTGGCTGCAAGCGACATGACAGCAGCTGCGGGCCACAGGCCGTTTCGCAAGGGCACAGGCAAAGGCACACCCCTGCAAAAAGTCAACATCAAGGGCGGACCCATGCAAGGTTGTCAACAGCAAAGGCGAACGTGAAAGGCACGAAAGGCCGAATCGCAGCCAAGTGCTGACCTGTCAGCGTCTCCTCAAAGTGGAAGCCCTCCGCAGCGGCCATGGCGGCCAGGGCCTTGGAGCTGACTGCGGTGGACAGCATGGCGCAGCGCTCAGGCGGGACGTCCGGGTGGCGGCGACGGAAGTTGGTCCACACCCTGTGAGTGTGTGTGTGTGTGTGTGTGTGTATGTGTGTGTGTGTGTGTGTGTGTGTAT